TGCGAGTATCCACTTAATAACAATTCTTCACAATGCAGCCTTTTGCGAAGTAGCACGAATCTCTGGATTACGATACTTTGTTTTCTCTCCAAAGAGCCGTGCACAGCAAAGCAGCTTGAAACTTGAACACTTGAAAACATAACGTGAGAAATAAAAGCACAAAAGAAAATCAAATCATGGAGTCATCTAAGAAAAACACTCGAAACACATGGAATATGCTGCTCGAACACCAACAAGCAAAAATGAAGGCGTCAATGTCTATGGTACACATTTACATGATACGAGGACAGCAGTTCAACATTTGGACCGCTGTTATCGAAATAATAATAATAATAATAATTATAATAATTATAATAATTATACTTAAACGTAACCTGTTAAACTCAGCATACATCACGCTCAATCGGAAGCATAAGTGCCGATTGGATTGTCTTTCATGGCACATTCCTTCGTCGAAAATCCTGCTTCGCGATATTAGCCCTTCCACGTAGTTATTGCTGAGTCATCTTTGCGAACTTGCGCCTTCTGGATTCTGGCGCGCTGCCTGTTTGTACTTCAATAACATCCGCAATTCGAATCGATCCGTCGTCCTACACAGCGGAAGAGTAATTACCGATCAGTCAATAATGACCACACCTGAACATGCCAATCAGCGTTCGCTAAATAATGTCGCGATTCACAGTCTCCGATGTAAGCAACGCAATGGCGACGCATTCGCCTTGATGTAAAAGAAAATATGTAATTCTCATTTCATCGGAAACTGTGAACTTACGCTTAATGAATTACGGTACGACACAGTGCATGCAAGGCTCTGGTAATGCATGGGTCTTCGAACGAGGCTGTGTGCTCCATTCGTACCTCACACCCTAGAAAAGGTATCTGAGTTCCCAGCCAAACACGGCAAACAATGAAAGGATCGCATCGAAGGACGAAGCCAAGCCGACAGTGAAATCTGATAAATGCGATGAGCGCAGGGACGATGGGTATCTGAAACGTTGCGCTCGGCACACATCATATTTTTTTTATTTTTTTTATTTTTTCTAACCATATTTTGAGCTTCGTCATTCGTTGGGATCATGCTGTTTACCACGATTGGTTGCCTCCGTGTTCTGCCGGATAGCGAACTCACAGACTTTCTAGAAGTGCACGTTCAACAACTCTTATTTGTGAGCACTATGTATAACATTTTTGTAGCTTCGTGTATATATATATATATTTTTTAATTATGCGCATTTCCAAATAATAGCGGCACAACGAATGTAAGCTCTAGACGTAAATTTGAATTTTTTTGAATGCTGAAAGGTTCTGTTCTAGTGTGGTCATGAACATGAATGTTTAAGAGGTTGTGTGTTTTCTCGGATCGACAACAATTAGTTAAAATATTTCGCATCCAGTCGTGTACTGCGTCGCCACTGCGTTCGCTCCTTGTTTGTTTTTGTTCCCTTGTTCGGAAAGGCGAAACCACACAACCTTCTTAAGACATCGCTCCGGTGTACGAACCCTGCTCGAACCCATTTAAAAACACGTGATGCTTTTTTTTTCTCTCTCTCTCTTTTAATTTAAGTTTTTGATTGAACGTTTTGAAATAGATGATACTAACCAAACCTGCGGCTTAACATTGCTGAAAAACGTGATGCGTGGTTAGTAGAGAGACGGACGCGACAGTTAGCCGGGGTTTCTTGAAAACCCTGACTCCACCAAGACGTCAAGCGCACTTGGAATCCTTGTGTATTACATTCACTGGACATTTGAAGCAACTACGGTTGACGTACGGCTAAACCCGATCATGTTTCTCCCGAAGATATTTCAACGTTTGTTGCGGTAAACTGCCGTGAATCCAAAGAGCTACAGTCACTGGCAAGATAAGAGCGGCAGGAATGTCTTTTAGTTGACCGGCGTCCAGCGCGAGCTTTCTATATCATAGATAACGCTGCCACATCTCTTGAGCCTCGAGTGCGCATGCGCACCCAAAGCACCACGGAAGGCAATGAGAAGGCCCTGGAGGCCGTGCGTCTGAAAGAGACGCCCTGCGGTTCTTGTCTTCTCAGTGACCATAGTCCCAGTTTTTTCAGCCACGGTAAAAAAACACCGTTCCGTGTCTGTTTTGAAAAATGCCTTGTGTACGCATCAGCCTGTTGAGTTACCACAAAAGAGTAATCCTGACCGAACATACGATCCCTCGGACGTCCAAGCGACATTTACGCGACGTATACCGACACTCCAAGGATGTCATCGGGACCATTTGTTCTGTCAGGGAGCGTAAACAAGGTCTCGAGGATCTCGAACCATTCGCCGATAGGGATGGAAGTGTTTAAGTCAACCGTAGTTGGAGGGCAGTCGAGACACTTGAAAAACACACTCATTCAGATTTCTTGAATATGTTCGAGAGGAGCTGTTGCGATTGACCAACCCCGCACCAAGCGTTTTTGTCACCGTCGTTGCAGAGCCCCGTAGCTTTCCCGACCGAAGCGTGTTTTTTTTTCGAAAGCTTTTCGAAAAACCTTTTCCGCACGAGGTTTTATTCTGACACACTTCGAGATCTTATTTGGCGTCTCTTTCGTATTGATCGGTTTCCTCAAAAAGCTTTCTGAGCAGTAACGTTTTCGAGGCATACTCGTTCATGTTCTGTTTTTTTTTTCCCTTTAGCATGTGCGAGCGTTTGAAAGCGCCGCTTCAAAGTAGTTGCTACCAATAAAGTTTCTGCGACGTACAGTGGAAATTGTGTTCAAATCTCTTACCTGAGCTAAGCTGTACGTTTCGTAGGCGCCTTTTTAACAACCCGCAACTTACATTGTAAAATTCCTAAGACGTTTATGGGGCGCATTTAGAACAGACTTTCAGCAGACGTTCTAGCTGCGTGAAAGGTTTAATTAGATATGAATCGTAGCATTCACAAAGTAGCCTCAATTTTCGGTGTCAAGTCACGACGCCAAACAATAGCAGTCGTCCGAAAATTACAAGTCAGTGTACCTATATTTTGGTGTGTTGCCGTTTCCGGTCCAGGGTGAGACAAATTAAACCCTTAGTTTAAGACTGCAAAAAGCGTTGTTTAAATTTATGCTGAGGAAAAATAAATACACAGAACAAACAGGAGGACACGTACATTACTTTCAAGTAGGAACAGTACTTTCTTCTTGAAAATAATTGACGGGAATCCGACGTAAGTGTTGACGGAGAGAAAGGAAACATGGCAGGATGGAAGGAAAGACATCTGCAGAAAAGAGTAATCACTGTAAACTGAGAAAGGAGAAAAGTTTTAACTGACGTAGTTGCTATGATTTTTTTTTCTGCATTGTCAGCTGACAACGGTTCCTCTTAACGGCAAGTGTTTCCTCATCTCTTCTCATCTAACACTCGGGCTGGGTTCCTGTTAACAAGCTTTTGCAAAGAAAAAAAAAAAGTGTTGCTAGTTAAAAGAGATGCAGGTGCCGTGCCGTTTATGTGCTATGTTTCTTATTTCTCTGTGACAGCCTTTTGCTGCCTCTAAGGAGCGGTCATATTGTGGCGCAATGGCTCGACACATAACTCAATCGATGGGGAGATGGGACAGCATCGCTAAGGTAGAGATGAAAAAAGTCCATCTGCACAAGCAACACGCCTCAGCTGTAAATAAGTGCTTTCTTTAGCCTTTTTGAAAGCATAATTTTCTACTTAACACTTTGCGAAACCGAGATTGCTCAGAAAGCTGCTCAAACAGACCCATTTACGCTGTCTTTGAATCGTTATTTTTTTCATACCTCCAAAAACATTTCGTAACAAGAGCACGCCGAGGTACTTTCTTTAATGAATCGTTCGTCTCAACCGCTCGTTCTAAAGGCTCGCCTCCGAAAACAGCTTTAAGGGCGAGCCAAAATAAAACCTCTTTCGAAAAAGCTTTTTCCAAAAACTTGCTGCTTCATGCAGTCATGCCTTCGTTCTTTTCCCTAGGGGTCTTTGTGAATACGGCGGAGAAGCAATACTAGACTCTCTGCCGGAGTTGGTGCCGGAAGCGAAAAAGCGTAGTCGGGTGCGCAGTGAATGTCACGTGCTCCTGGTGTTTTGTTTTACAGAGGAACCAGGCAGCGAGGGACTTGTGGTCAAACTACACACGCGAATGTGGCACTTCCGTCTGCCGAGTTTCTTGCATTTTCTTCTCACCACGTAATCTGCCTCCTCGAAAAAGAAGGGTAGACCTTGTGCCACTTTTTTTTTTGTCAGCGCCACCCAAGACGGAACGCCACTCTTGTCCTCTCAAATGCACTCCTTTTGAGAGCAGAGCAACTAGTGAACACGCAGCCAAGAACACACCCGGGACTCATTTAATTGAATGTAGTGCGTTCCTATGCATTCGTTGCATAAATGTGCACGTTTGCGTGAGTCCAGAAGTGCATCATTTCCATCTATCGTCATTGACTTCTCTCACTCCCCTAAACTGAATGGTTATCTTCCGGCGCCTGCGGTCGCAGGTCACTATTTATGGCTTTCGCAAAAGTGACTTATTACCATCCCTGGAGGCCATGTATAATGGCCAGTATCACTACCTTGATTAACTTCAATAGGGCCAGTATTCTTGAACGTGATAGCCGGAGAAACGCATTAATCGAGAACGTGTCATCGAGGTCTTAAAGCGTACCCCCCAGGTCACCTGGAAAAGTCTCTCACACAGGTGCCCCTAACCTCGCCATTCTCCAGCTGACGTATCACCGTTTTCTTACCAGGCCATATTGAAAGCAAGCTCTAAGAACCACTAGAGACTTCTGCTAACTTCTCGTGCCGATAGCGCATGCTGTTCTCGTGTAAACTCTCTGCGATGAAGGCGCTGTAGAAATCTCTTAAGTGACCTCCAGCGTCACTTCCCTCTCGGATATCCCTCCACTGTCTGCTGTGAATAAACAGTCGGCAGCGTCATGCCATTCTCCAGATGAATCTACAATATACATGACGTGATGTGTCGGCCACAGCGCGCTAAAACCAACCGTGGCGTTCCGTCTGCTTCGGTGGCGCCGACTTTGCTCCCGTGCTCAACGGTGATACGCTACCGCGTGCTGGACTTGGTGGTGCCCGTGCTGGTTGTGTCCAAGCCCCACGCCCTTCTCGAGCACAACTCCAAACACCACCCTGCCGTTGAGATTCACCTTGGGCTTAGGCAAGAAAGGCAGGAAGAGGTTCTTGATGACGCCCATCGGGCTCACCCCGTAGTCGTGGTGGTGACTGCTTCCGTGGTCCCCGTGACCACCTCCGATGGTGAAGGTGATGCCCTTGCCGTGGCCGCCGCCGCTGCTGGCGCTGTGGCCGCCGTACGAATCACCGGCGTGGATTTCGAAGCCGCTTCGGTCTTTGTGCGGGTACGCGGACTCTGACGAAGGGTGCAGAAGTCCACGCTGGGAGTCGACCGGGTCGTAGCGAGGAGGCGGTGGGTACGCCTGAGGCGGAGGCGGGTTGAAGGGAGACGGTCCCCCTTGAGGGCCCGGCGCGTACGTCTCATGGTTGCGGGAGGCGCTGTAGCCTCCGACCGACTGGAAGCCCGGCTGGGGTGGCTCCTCTACCGGTGGCGGAGGAGGTGGATTGGCCTGCGATGGGATTGCGCAAAGTATACGCAAATGTATTCTTTTTGGCATGGGAGGGCACGTTCGCGGAGAAATGTGCAGCTGGACTTTTTGACGTGAAACGTTCTTTGGCTAGGCACTCGGCATTTCATGAAGCCCAGATAAACGCGTGGCCGCGAGGCTCGGCACTAGTTGGTGGAATGGTGGGGAGGAGATGTAAGGTGCTCAATGATTATTGGTTAGCGGGGAGGTCACGGGAACAGACGGGTAGGTGAGGAGGAGTGAGGTAGGCGAGGAGGAGTTCGACCACCTGTGCGCTCTAAGGGAGAGGAGCTTGCGGGTATAAAAAGCTCTGGAAGATCGCCGTTTATCAGCCCGATTAGCGGTAGTGTCACTGGATTCTAGGAACAACCATCAATTTTACACGTTGTACGCGTTAAACTGTCTGATGAAGAGCGCTGTGAACGTGGGTGGAAAATGAAAGAATCGTTAAACGTTTTGATGCTAGAACGCTTCCCGTATGCAACCCAATTGCCTAGCAGTTTACTATAAATTTTGAGGTCCGACAGTTAACCTCGGGAATGAGCCCAATAGTCCGTCGTACACAACTTGAAGCTCTCTTTCTTTGAAAAGGTCGCGGTTAAGTCATGCTAACTGGACGTCCTCGCAAAGTCGTACACTGTTTTTTGGTTTTTTTTTTTCACATTCACGGGTTTTATTTTTCTGTCAGCTGAACGTGGTTACAGGTGTTGAGGGATGCAAACGGTACGCACGAAATCACACTAAACAGTATTTCATTAAGGACTAAAACGAGGGACGACACGACACAGAATTAAGTCTCAAACAAAGCTTTGAGTTTGTGAAGGCATTCGAGTTTTCTGTGTTTCAAACACTTTTTTGTTTGAGACTTTTGTGCCATGTCGTCCATCGTTCTCCCTAATCTCGGGAGTTAAGTCCATCATGTCCAATCATCACAAGCTCGTTTGCTCCATTATTTTCCATTTCATGTTTCATTATCTTGATAAGATCAAGGGCAACCGAAGACACGTCCTGGTTTCTTAAACTGAAGGACGTGGCGCTGTCTAGTGTTGCGCGTTTAATAATACCTGAAATCCAGGAGGAGGCGGCGGAGGCTGGAATGGGTTGGGGTTGCTCCCGTTCCGTCTCATGAGCACCGGCTGTTGCGGCGGTGGCATGAGGTACTGCTGCCGCGGGGCCATCATCTGCTGCTGCTGGACCTGGTACTCTTCCCTGGGCCTGATGGGCACCCTTAGAGGGGTCGGAGGCGGAGGCGGCGGAGGCAGCGGCGCTGCTTGCGGCAGAAGCTGGTGCTGGTACTGCGGCTTGCTCATGGACGGACCCATGTCGTACCTCGTGGTCTGCGTGGGTCAAGGAATCGGCTGTGTTAGAACCGGGAACGACGCGAACCTTTGTTTAACATCGGGGTTGGACTGGCAAATCCCTGAAAGTTTTGGAAACATTCGACGAAATTCGATTACCTATTTAAAAAATTACCGAAAATTCCCCGGGCCTTCCTTAGGTTCCGATAGGTTACTCACACACAAGCTCAATCTTGTAATACAGCACTCTGCACACACAAAAAAAAATTTTTTTACGTAGTCTTATAGAGACTTGGCTTCGCTATTAGTGCAAAGAAGTCACCGCTATTTTTTTTATTTTTTTTTTGTTTCTGTTTTTCTTACAGTATTGAAGGACTGCCATCAAAACTGCTAAGGTTTTGGAAATGTCCGGATGGGGGTGCTGACCTAAGTAGAGTGATGCCCGCCAGTACCATTTGTAAGTAAAATGTGTTAAAGTGCCGAAGTAGTGTTCGTGCTGACAGTGTCGCGCAGTGGACGTAACAAAATTATACAGAAATTTAAAAACAAAAAGCACATACGACTATAGCTTAGAACTTGCTGGTGCACGAATACGTGATATATATCACAGTAATTAAAACAGTACTAATATTGCCAACAATATCAACATAAACGCGACAGAATAATAGAAAAAGCGTGCCGTCGCAGCCTTTAAAGCCTGCGCACTTGAGAGCTTCAACACTACACGGCGAGTAGCCAATATCTTGTTTGTGATAACAATGCACTTTTAGTTTAGTTTTGAACAGTGTTGACAAACTTCTACGCTATTATTTCAAATGAGAAAGGAAATTATATATACAATAGCTTGTCCTAAATTTTACAAAGAATAATTTCCCTAATGTTCACACAACAGAAAATCAAATGTAGTCGCTTTTCATGATTTTGTTTTTTCATAAAACCCTTTAAACCATCCCCGCCAGGCGGCTCTAGCTTGTTTTTATTTTGCTTGCATGCACATTATAGTTGATCTTTTGTAGCACGTTTGTTGATCATTGAGTTGAAAATTTGAAAAGCTTGAACCTGGTCAAACTCAACCCTGGGCGGGCTCGCGACACCTCTATTTAGAACCGCTGCCTTTGATCCGTCCAGTATCACTTTAAACAAAAAAACAAAACAAAAATGCTGCCTGACCTTAGGTGTCGCATCATCACTGCTAAAGTAAGTCTCTAGCTGCCGTACCTGTGAGATTATTCTAGTGGTATGGCGTATGCAAAGTGGTGAGACCACAGGGAAAGGACCAGAGGTTACCACAATGTCCTGGTGAGAGCCTTGAAACTTGAGACATTGCGGTAACCGTTGGATCAGAGGTTACCACAATGTCCCGGTGAACCTCTAAAATAGATTTGTTGTTTGCCATACTCTCACTAGCTACCATGTGTGAAAGATTATTAAGGTGGCAAGGCACGTGCAAAGTGACAAGACCAGAGGATGTAGCCATTGAAGTTTGATAAGTAGTTACTATCACAATGTCCTGGTGAACATCCAAACTCAACCTTTTGTTTGCTACACTGTCACTTTGCACCAACACGCTGCTTTGACGTCACGCAGCTGTGGTGACGCTGCTGTTGACGCGGCGCATGCTCAGACCGCACTTGCGCAAGAACCAGATCCGCTGTACGCGGATCTGGTTCTTGCGCAAGTGCAGTGCCACACGTGGTGCGAGAAAATGCGAACTTGATTGTAAACGGCGTGTTGGTCTACACTACCATGCCCGGCAAGTATAATGGCGGCAGGGTGCAAGGTAAGTAATAGCACCGGAGGATCTAGCTCTGAAGGACTGACCAGTGGTTACTACAATGCCCTGGTGAGCTTCCAAAATATTTGTTGTTTGCCACACTGCCATTAGCCACCATGCATAGAAATATTACAGTGTTATGTGGTTCATGCAAAGTGATAAGCCCAGATGATGTAGGATTGACCAGTGGTCATCGAAATGTCCTGGTAAAAGACTTGAACGTTGACCAGTGGTTATCAGAATATCCTAGTGAGCTACCAAACTAGATGTCTTGTTTGCGACATTGTCACACGCTACCATTCCCTAGAGAAGATTCTGGTGGTATGGCACCATCAAGATACATTGAAATACGAGCAACCGATCTCATGGCTTTCGGTGCATGCTGCGCCAGCAAAGGTTGGCCATATGTGCAGCAAGACCAGGGCGTACGAGGATTGGTTTCCAACTCTGATATAGGAGGTATTCACTGGACGCCATATTTGAGGGCGATGTTTAGAGTGCATGCTCAGAACGAGCTCACAGTAATAGCCTGCTAAGACCGGCAACCTTGATGGTGCTAAATGCACGCTCCAAAAGGACTGGGGAAGCTCGACGTCAGCACGCGCTCAGCAGCAGCGCACACGGATATGGCCGCCAGTGAATACTCCCTATACCTTAAACATTGTTCGGGGTATCAGCTGAGATAGCGGCTGCGCGAACGCGCTGGAGGCCCGTTCGCGCAGCCGCTATCTCAGCTCGTGGTTGCGTGCGTGCTTACGAGCGCCCCTCGCGCACGCACGCAGCCACGAGCTGAGATAGCAACGGTCGATCACGTTGAGTTTGAGCGCAGACACAAATCAGATACGAGATCTAAGTCACCGTTCGACTAGACCTTGTATCCAGCAAATGCATCGAAGGTCGTTCGGCGTTGTGCCCGGGCCTAATTGTTGAGGTGGCACCACCCGAGTGTGACGGTGTTACGTGGAGATGGTGGAGGCTGTTCACAGGACATGATATATTTTAGGTGATGTTGGTGCCGCGCTGCGAAGGACTCCTTCCATGCCACTTCCCGTAACCAGCGAGCATTAGACCGAACTAACCTTCATCATGCTGTCAGCAGAGTTCCGTTTCGGATCCGGCATTGGCGCAAAGACGACGAACTGGGGCGACCTCCCGAAGCCGTTCTTGGAGGCGTTCAGGATCTGGTTGAGCATGTCGGCGAACTCGGGCGAGTGCGGGTCGAGCTGCGACGAGGGTTCGGCCGGAGTCGGCTTCGGTGCCGGCGTCGTGGTGGTCGTCGTGGTCGTGGTCGAGGTCGTTGAGCTGGCCGTCGTCCTCGCCGTAGTGGCCACCGAACTTGTGGTTGGGATGCTGCGAGGTTCGCCGGAGGAGCGAGAGTTACCAACTAGCAATTTTCAGAATGCCATATCACGACCGGACAACAGTCTAGTTCAAGCTGAGGATGCGCCCAATGAACACCACCACGTACAAGTCACGTCATCAAATCGCTCTGCGAACTAACCGATAAAAGCAGTAGCTATATGACGATAGAAGTCACGTGTGGCAAAGTGGACCAGAAAGACGTTGGCGCGGACTAGGGCTCGCGTCGGGGAGCCCTGATTACTGGGCCTGCTAGGATAAAGTTTTTTTTTTCTTTTTCGGTGTCCAATTTGCTTTGTCGTTTTTGCAGGTAACCACTACGCATCGATCTCCACAGACGTGAACGCGACATGCGTCTTGGTAGCGAATTCTTTTCGCATTGCTGAAGAACACCGACTGGCGCTATACAGGCTGGGGAGGAGCTTCTAGCGCATTCTTAACTTGTATCTGACTGCAGAAGGCGCAGAAATGTACAGGGCGGTGTACTTTCCGGTCGATATCTCAATACACATTCCGGATGTACACTCCCCTGCACTTTTCTTCACAGATGAAATGGTGCTTGTAAATCGAACGAGACTAGAAAAAAGTTATAAATTTTCAATACTGTTCCGGCTACCGCGACTAAAAATCTTTACCGATATACTCATCTAAAATAACTGAGCTAATTGGAAAAGATTCCAGCTTACTATAATCAACTGTTGGTTTATAGAACACCTATTACTGTGAAGAGGAGGAGGAAGTAGTGTTTTGCGTAAGCCCCTGCAGGACGGCGTCCTCGTGACCTGTGGACCTAAAACTAGTCTGGTAATTTCTTCATCTGAATCCCAAAGTAAAAGGGTCACAGCAAAGAGCTTGAGTGCATCCTCAGAAGGAATTAAAGTGATATAAAAAGGTAAGGTCACACATAATCTCATCAGCTGCCATTCGAATGGCCTTGTTACTGAGTGCGTGCCTTCTGCCGCATTAAATATTTTGCCGCGTTATTTGCTTTTCTCGGCAAGAACAGGTAAGAATTGCAACCAGCATGGTGAGATTACGCCATGCGGAAGCCATGTATTGGGGAGAACAAATGCTTATTCCCTCCTTTCCTCCATGAATGGTTGGTAGTAACCTGATGTTCGTTTTGCTTAGGGTGATGACATTTAACCAATTTGTCCCAAACATTTTTTTTTTTTTTGAAGCGCGTGAAGAGGCTTTTTTTTTTTTTTTGGCACGCCCTTCTGGCATTGAATGTGCTACGGTGACGTTTTTTTTTCGGCGATTCCCCTTCATTTTCTACGTGAGTGTGTGCTGTCGGCATCGAGTACTACGAAGGATGTCATCACCCTAAAATTAAGTACGTCGAGGCAACTTCTGATGGCCGCAGAACACCTCTTATACCTCGTTTCATCTTATCCGGACGCACCCGACGTGACGAGCTAATGGGGACAAGGAAGCAGTGTGAAAAGTGCAAGTCACCGGGAATTTTACGTTCATGATTGGTTCAGCGATGGCAGAACACGTACAGAAACATAACGAACAGCATGATGGGGCGCTTTTGATAGTGACTGATTGGTGTTATCAGCTCGTGGCGTCGTCTGCGTCTGGATTTAAAGGAGTCATAAAGCGATTTCTTTTTTTACTTTTGTTGAATACTACTTAGAGTTTCCCTTACGTTCATAACTAAATAAATTTGCATTAGTTTTATTTTCTTCTAGGCAATGGCAGTCGCTAGAAATATTCGAAAGATAGGAGCATCGTTCATCTGTTCACCTCGAAGCCAAAACAAGTGGCCATGCGGCCTTGTGCCTATTCTATGCCGCGAACGTTAATCATAGCCACGCGCTGGTGTTAGAAAAGCAGAAAACGCGCGCTGAGCTCTAGGCATTGATAAAGTTCGGCTATTCTCATC